TCTACAATAAATCAAAAATTAGCCGGGCGTGGTAGTGTGCACCTGTAGTTCTGGCTACTTGGAAGGCTGAGGCGGAAGGATTGCCTGAGCCACAGCAAGTCAAGGCTGTGGTGGCTGTGACTGTGGAACTGGGCGACAGAGTGAGACTCCCACTCAAAAAAAAAAGAAGAAAGAAAAGAAATGCCTTACATTACTCAGAAGATTAATTTGTAGACATTAATTAAGCCATGTGTATTGTATATAATTACCAACCTCCCCAAAACAAACAAACAAAAAAACCAAACCAAATAAATTGGGAGAAAGCTTTGGGACAGATTCACAATGGGTCTGGCAGAGTCTGCCCCTCCACAGCCATTGAAGCAGGCTCAGTTTCTTTTGCATCAGGTGATACCCTTTCCCACGTGCTGTCCTCAGACTTGAACTCCCTGGCTATGCAGGGCCATGTACTTTTCTCATAAAGGGATCTGAAGGCTTATGTGTGGATAGGATAATTTGGTTATAAAGAGCAGACTCTATTGAAGGTAAAGTTTATTAATATTGTTCCTTTATGGAGACTTTTAAGGTGTGTCTGAAAATAAAGGTTTAGGAAGATCATTGATAACTGGGATACTAATGCAAATCCCATTTTACTCATTTGCTCCTGGTGTGATTCATTATTGAACATCTTTAGTTAGTATTAAAATTAGACTTTGGGATTACCATCTTTATGTGCTTATTATCCTTTGGTGGAGACACTGACAGTCAAAAGGTTAACAAGAGGATCTAAAAACAAAGAGACCAGGTTGTCAACAGAGTAGAGCACTAGATCATGAATAGATACTGCAGTCTTTTGGCTGTGTCTATAGAATAGCCCCAAGTGCTTGGCACTAAGCAGGCACAAATATCAACTTATTGAGCCTCCATAACAAACTATAAGGTAGGGTCCGTTATTATCTGCTTTTTTTTTTTTGAGTTGGAGTCTCACTCTGTTGCCCACACTGGAGTGCAGTGGCTGCTCCCGGCCACCGCAGCCTTGACCTGCTGGGCTCTGGCAATCCTTCTGCCTCAGCCTTCCAAATAGCTGGAACTACAGGCGCGCAATACCACGCCCGGCTAATTTTTTGATTTGTTGTAGAGACGAGGTCTCGCCAAGTTGCCCAGGTGGGCCACGAACCCGCGGGCTCAGGCAATTCACTCACCTCGGCCTCCCAAAGTGCTGGGATTACAGGCTGAGCCACTGAGCCCCACCCATTATCTGCTTTTACAGATGAGGAAACCAGAGGTTACATACCTCACCCAAGGCCATATTGCTGGCTTATGGTGAGCTGGGATTTGATTCTAGCCATCTGGTTCCAGAGTCAGTGTTCTAAACCACTATACTATGATGCTCTGAAAGCCCTAAGAAAAGATAACACAGTTCTGGATCAGCTACTTATACTGTATCAGCCAAATAGCCTGGCTATTTTCCCAATGGCCATATTAGTTTTTGCCTACAACATTCATGTGAATACATGGCATTTTTTTCAGTTCTTCTTTCTGGAGCCAGGGTTGTGATTTCTTTAGTCATCATTTCCAAATTGTCTCTATAAATATAAGAAAATAGAACTATTAAAATTTAACCTTTGTTCGTTCTCATGGTCTCATTTTCCATTCCAGTCATCCATGCTAAAAAATACATCAGAGTCTCTTTTAATTATTTCTGTAAGGTGAAAAATGATTTAGGATGAAGTAGAAAAATCATTAGGGATTCAAAACTGTACATCACTAAACTTTGGAGAAATTCCTGGGATCCATAACTTGTACTTGGACCCCATGTGAATTCAGCAGCAGTGAGTTCACTGAGCCACCTCAGCCCAGCATGGCCTGCTGAGGCTGAGATTTTTAGGTCCAGTCACAGGAAGGCCTTGTGCTGGTGGCAACATCACGCAGGAGACACCATGCAACCCCTTATCAGCTATGTCCTTGGGAAGGAAACCCACCCTCAGGTGAGACAGGTTTTCCTAAAATTCCAGAACCCTGAACACTTAGTACCATGTGCCTTTTAGGAGGAAACTACAGTTGGGTGCTTACTCAGCTGAAGGTATGGCCACCATAAGTACACACCCATTAGAATTATGAGCAGTACTAGGAGCTGCAGACAACTGGCCTCAAGTTCTCTCACATACAAACACCTCTTTTGATTAGGAATGTAATAATCTTTGCCCCTTATATAATTCTGAATAAGAAGGCCTATTAAATAGGCACAAAAATAGAGAAATGCTTTGCAGATCTTTTTTGTATTTTGACAGTCACAAGACCATTGTTGTTGAACGTTTATTGAGCTCTAACAATGCGATAGGTGCCACACAAAAACATTAGACACAGTACCTGCCCAGTGGGCTTACAATCTAACCTAAGGACATGAATCATTTTTAAATGTTGCCATGAGTTTGCTGTTCATGAAAATGAGGTATTAACTGCACTGGTTAGTGCAGAAAAAGAGCCTATGGAATCGCTGACTTTTTTATGCAGGCTTCCCTATGCAAGTAGGCACAACTGCTCATATTACTTATGCTCTCAAAGTATGGTTGGCATTTTCCCAAAGTTGGTTATTTTATGACGTGTACAAGTGTCTATAAAGAAAGAGCCACCAAACCCACATTTCTGAAAACCAGAGTTCAAATTTGGCTGCTAGTCCAGAAGAAAAAGGTTAGCTATATATTCAGAAAAACACTATTATTCAAAATAGGCCCTAGGGAAAAATAGTGAGGGGGGCCAAACTTTTGTTCAGAGTTCCTAGAATGTCCTAAAAACACCTCCTCAGGGCAGCCCTGCAAGTGCCTTTTCACTCTCAAGGTCTTTTATCTTCAGAGCCCAGAGATGCAAATACATTTGCTGGGTTCAGTTTGGGTATCTGCCCAGGGGAGGTATCTGAGGGTAGAGCCCTCTAAGTGCTTCATGGATCACAATGCAGACAATCCACATATTGGTCCTACACACCACACTAATTTGACTTCAATCTCTAGAGAGTAGCAAAAAGGTACCAGAGGTCTCCAGAATATATCAGTAATTTGTAAAAATGTAGCTCATTAAAATATCCACCACTGATAAAAATTAATAAAGATGCTGCTTATAAAAGCTTGTCCTTTCTTTGTTATGGTAAAGTCAAGTGGTAACACTTTTATCTGTTAAACACTTAGAAGAATAAATTGATTTCATGTGGAAGGAAACGTAAAATAACTCACATGTATTTAAAGCAAATTACTTAGTTCTTCATTCTTATACTTCCATACCTTCTTTAGATTGCAGTTATCTTTTTGTCTCTTCACTTTGATCCTGATGCACTAATAATTTACTACCTATTACATTAGATTCCCAATCCTTTTTCATATGTCTCTTGAATTTCAGCAAGATATGAAAATGCAGACGCCAGGGATGCATTTTATAGTGATACAAGCCTCTTGAGGAAATCTTCTCATAGGAGCTTTTAATGGTGCTGTGGCCTGTGTTACCCTTTCTAATAGTTTTCCTGTGTGCTTATGAAAAGTATCAAAAAAGACCAAATGACACATTCTGAATGTGTGTTCTGAACAAGTATGTAAGTACAGAGAGGGGCCATTTTGCAAACTCAGATTATGCTGACAAGTCATACTTCTAAATGAATTTGATTTGAATAATTTGATTTGAGAAGGTTGCCTGAATGTACATTTACCATTTTATAAAGAGCAACTAAGCTCCTACCTCCACCCAAGCTGGAACCTTAACTTACAAACGCTTAGTATTTTTCAAGTTGCATAAAAAACAAGTACATGAATAAATAAACAAAAAATACCTAGTGAAAGGGCTTTAAGCTCCTATTCCAAGGAGTAGATGATAAATGAAGCTGAGGTCCCAGTGTTTCTCTTTAACTAGTTTGTTATGTTAAAAATATTTTAGCTTTTTAAAAACTCTGCTTTCTTCATTTTTATTGAAACACAATTTATGAGCTACAATTGAGTCTCTATGTAGTACCTCCAGAATGCAAATCAAAAAAAAGTTGAGATTTTATTCAGATTTTCCTGTTAGATTGAGCCATGAATGTCTGGTAAGGGATGGGTTAATAAACACAACTGGCATGATAAAACCACACTAAATAATGTATACTTTATTTGAACAGTTGTATCAAGAAGGGTCCTAAATTTAATGAAGGACTGTCATATTAAAGACTATGGACTATTTGAAGGTATTTTGCCTGCTGGTGAGACTGAGTTTAAGGGCACAGAAGCTTGGTCTAAATGAACCATTCGGAATGCATTGTGCATCCAATTGAACACAAATTTCATGCTTACCATTTTCTTTGTTTTAATGCAACAGGCTCAGTTTTCTCATATTGGTGCTTCTCTTCATGCTAGAACTGCTTATGTCTACAGAGTCCCTGAAGAAGCGAAAATTCTTTTTTTAGCATTAAACATAGCATATGGAGTTCTTCCTCAGCTCTTGGCCTATCGTTGCATCTACAAACCAGAGTTCTTCATAAAAACAAAGGCGGATGAAAAAGTGGAATAAAAATATTACTTCATGTTTTTCTCTAGATTACTGACTTTCGTTATACTGGTACTGATATTTTGTCCCATTTTACTCTGTACTCATACATGAATACTTAAGAATATAGAAATTCTTGCTCTGCACTGTATGCGTGAGCTATATGGTTTGTGAGATTAAATTTTCTTTCTTTTTGAAGGAAAACTGAAGTTATTCAAAGTTATTTGAGAATAAAACTGACCATCAGTCTCTATATTCTGTTTGACATATTAAATAATTATCAATGTGAAAAGTTACTACTTAGTGCCTATAACAGTGAGCATGAAAACAAAACTATTCAAAAGTATAGTCTCTGCATATTAAAAAATTCAAAATAGTGAACACAGATTGAAGAAATAACTTTTGCATATAAGATGTATATGCCTAATTATCAGCCTCAATATAAAAAGCAAATCATCAGAATATTTTTAAATGTTGCTTGAAAAATGTTTTCCAAGGAAAGTATATTCTTTGTTGCCATTTTAAAAACTGGTCCTACTAATTTTTTTTTTGTGTGAATCTAAATAACTAAAGAGGGATAGATAATTTTATCTCTGCCCTTAATGAACACTTGTTTTATTGGTGGCTGGAAATATTTCTATTGTATTTCTGTGTATACTTTTAATAAAATTATTTTTGGCCTTTTATGAAGACAAATCTTATTAAATTTGAAGCATTTTATATGTATATATAAAATCACTTTTTATTTAAGAAAATCTGTCAGTTATATGTTCCAATTCAAAATATCATCTACATTCTCATGTTTTAGTGTAAGCATTGAAGAGGGCTTTGGATGAATTAATTAAATTTCATGGGGACGGGGAAACACCTCTTATCAACAGGGTGCCTGAATGAAACGTAATTGTACACCTAACCCTTAACTGTACCCCACAACATCATAATAAAAAATATTGATAAAAAATTTCATTAATTTTAAAATAAATTAATATATTCAAAATTAAAAGTACCCTTTAAGGAAAAAGAACTGGACTGACATCCCTATTATCTCTTTATGAACTTTTCATATTTGGAACTGTGGGTGAGTATACTAGAGAAAATCAGTATTTTCTAAATGAGGGAAACAAACCAAAAATACAGCCACCTCCTCAGTGTGACCTGGAGTGGTAAGTGGATTGGTGCTTTCATACCCTCAGCTGCCCTCAATGCCATTATCATGGCCCTAGGCTTTTAGATCTGCTCACATTTTCTCTTCAAGTTATTTATTAGCTCTTCACTGAGATAAGAAAACCAAAAGAAAATGGGATACAAATCAATGCATGGATAATATATCAAGTGTGTAAACCTAGGTAGAGTCCACTGGTCTGGTGAATATGCATATACAAGCAAATCATGTAGTCATCCACCCCCTCCCCTCAGTGTTTTCAAATAACCTAAAACCCAGAGAGTGTTTAAAAAAAAAGAAAAAGAAAATCCTCACCTGCACTTGATTCTATTGTCAACTTGCTGTTAACAATTTTGTTTTAATATATGAATAACATTAATACCTCACATTACATATATGAAGCCAAATTATACTAACTTAGTTGTTTACAACCTCAAGTCTTACTCCCAGTACACATTCCAATAAATTTATTCTGTAAAAACAATACATTTTTTTGTTTTTGATTTTTTTTTACAGTAAAACTTTTCAACTACAAACCTCGAATACGCGAAAGATGTTCCAAGGACAAGCATAACAGGATTGATAAAACTCAAACTGACTAAATGTGTTCTCACAATATAAGCTGGCATAAAAATAAATAAAATTCTCTATTATCACAATAGCAACAATAATGTACACATAATAATGGTTTGTGGATGAATATTAACTATTCTAATTCTAGTTCCAAAAGAAAATGGTTCATTTTAAAGGTCTATATTTAAAAGTCAAATGCTTTGTTTGGTTTCCATAGGGCTGCTGCTGATTCCAGCTTTCAAATGTAAAGTATTCTCCTAGAGTGATTAGCTCAAATTGTATTGGCATTGGAAAAAATAAATCATTGCCTTCATTTTGGAGTAACACAAAAAGACACACTAGCTTCACATATGGAAACTTAGTTTGTGTACATAACAATATGAATTTTCAGAAGTATAAGCTGTCAACTAGCTATTTCTAATATGGAATAGATATTTTACAATATGATAAAACTTTACACATGGCCTCAAAACTGAAGAACAATTTTAATTTCATCTTCAATATACCAACATTATGTATTTAGGAATTAGTTCCTGGGTTCTGTCACGGAGGAAATTCCATCCTTAAGCATTATGTTGAGTGGTCATCTAAAAAAAAAAAATCCTAATTTATATTTAACTGAGTGTTTGGTGATGGTGGGGTAAAGGCAGAAGAATGATAAACATAACTGCCTTGAGAAAAGGATCCTAGACATGTATAAGTCTGCGCAAAATTTTTGATAATTTTTAGTGGCTAAGGGTGACTTCATGCAACCAAATAATATGAAATTAAATCAGCAACTTTAAAAAAGGCTAAAATGGTGTTTTCCCCCCAAACACAACAGAGAGGAATGTGAATAATGTACATACAAACTGGGGTTCTGTCAATGACAACAAGGACTATGTGTTGGATCATATCAAATCCAAGAATATTAGACAACCAAACATATAACCTTCTTGTGGTTTCTCTTAATATGCAGCATTCATTATGGTAGTTAGGTCTGTAAGAAAAGAAAGAAAACAAGCCTTTAGATGATTTAGGATACTAACAATGAGAACTATCCACACCTAGATAGTATATAACTGGATTTTCTGAGGTTTTACTATGCACTGAAGTGTTAACAGGTACTTACTTAGCAAGAACAGCTTCTGGGGCTTTGCTTTAGTGCAAAAAGCTAAAGAAAATACTAGGGCATTTTTAGTGCTCCATTAAATAAACAACCAAACAAAAAAAGAATTATCTTTGTCTGCTGTCAGGGCAGAGTGCAATAGTGTGTACTCTGTACAACTCTAGGACTGTGTTTATTGCTGGAATACATAAAGTTAATAGAGAAATTGATATAATCTGTCTTTGTGAGGACTGTGGGGTTAGAAAGAAAGATAACATTTATTTTTTTTTGAGTTGGAGTCTCACTCTGTCGCCCAGACTGGAGTGCAGTGGCCGCTGCCGGCCACTGCAGCCTTGACCTGCTGGGCTCCGGCGATCCTTCCGCCTCAGCCTTCCGAGTAGCAGGAACTACAGGCATGCACCACCACACCCGGCTGATTTTTTTATTTTTTATTTTATTTTATTGTAGAGATGAGGTCTCGCCAAGTTGCCCAGGCGGGTCTCGAACTCGTGGGCTCAGGCAATTCACTCACCTCAGCCTCCCAAAGCGCTAGGATTACAGGCTGAGCCACCAAGCCTGGCTTGATTTCTTGTTTTTGAAAAAAATATAAAGGATGAAAGAAAGCCTAGATTTCTTTTAAAATTTAGATGGCATCCATGCAACAAAGATAACATTTGTTTCATAAAGGAATTATGTTTCAATTGGGTCACATTTTAAATTGTGTCAGATTTTATTTGAGATTTTTTTTTGAGTTAGAGTCACTCTGTGGCCCAGGCTAGAGTGCAGTGGCACATTCACCGCCACCCCAGCATCGACCTGCTGGGCTCTGGTGATCTTTCCGCCTTGCTTTCCAAGTAGCCGGAGGGAAATACAGGCATGTGCTACCACGCTCGGCTAATTTAAAAAACTTTTTTTACTGTAGAGATGAGGTCTCGCCAAGTTGCCCGGGCTGATCTCAAACCCACGGGCTCAGGCAATCCTCGCCTCAGCCTCCCAAAGTGCTGGGATTACAGGCTGAGCCAATGAGTCCAGCCTTTTTTTTTTTTGAGCACTGATTCAAATATATTAGACCCCAACTCAGGCTCCAAATGTTTTTTCTAAAAACAGCCTGCTTTAGCTCTTTAATTCATTACATGAATGAGCATGTTTGCATACTCATATGTTCTTACTCAGCTAAAATGTGTACTATACTGTATATAAATGATTCCAGGACCTTCAAAGAAGGAAAAGGTACAAATCTACCATCCTCTCAAGATGGCAAAATACATTTCTTAGCCTTCTCTGTCCTTACCAAAATAAGAAAGCCAATTAAAAAAAAAATCACATTTAAAATATGTGAACTTACAAAATGCAGTAGCTGGTGACTCCTAATTATTCATTAACAAAAACAAAAGATGTAAGATTATACTCACAGATATTCTGGAGCATTTTCCTCCCTTGTAAAGGAGGAAGACTACCCATTACAACAATGAAAAGTTGTTAGTCAGTCAAAGAAATCTTTAACAATGTCCTTTTTTATTAATGTGAAAGGCAGGAAATTCTGTGTTTACTTTGGTAGAAAATTCAAACTAACTATGACTCAATTCATACTGAAGAATACTTTTGGAATAGATGGTCTCATGGTAGCCTCAGAGGATTACTACCGCAAACTAAGTGAAGGTAGCTCCGGAATGTGACCACAATTTTAAGAACAAGCTTTTTTTCTTTTTCCTTGTCTTTAAACGAGGTGCTCTCAAATGGGTGCTTTGTAAAAGCAAATTACAAAATCTGAGACTTTTTTTTTACTTCTCATACCATAATCATTCTATTTGCATCTGTATATAGAAGACTGTATCTTGCTATTTCATAATGGTATACGTTATGACCTGAAGTCTCTGAATAAGAAGTGGATCCTTATGCACTGGCTGCCATGCACCGCTACATAGGATACTGTCTAGAGAACCCAATCAGATTCTCTCTCGAGGTATCTGAATGTGAGGCACACTGAGAGGCCGTGGGGTGGCAGTGCAACTGAAGGATGCCCAGAACACAGTAGGCAGAGGCTGTGAGGCAGCAGAGGTCATAAGGATCTTTTCATGAAGCACTGTTTTATATGAAGGAATGATGATATTCAATACAAGTATTCAGATTTGGCAATTTGGCACTTTGTTTATTTTTTATAAACTTAGTGACTTATTACTTCAAGGAAACAACTGACAGTATTTGTTGCCAATGATAAAATTTGGGTCTTTAAGTGAAAATTAGAATTTTGAACCCTCCCCTCACCATAGTTTCTCAATACTTGAAGATTTTTTGATGAGATATGTAGTGATATTTTAAAAATGTGATTAAAATAGTTTATAATGAAACAGGTTAGGTCAATATTTGGAAGACCCAAATAACTCAAGGAACCAATATTTTCCAAATGTAACTGAGTATGAAAAGTTCAGATTCCACACTGCAACTAATCTTTAAGAAACTACCACTTAAAGAACTGTTCAAATATCACACAAGACTATCCACAATCATCTGACAAGACTATTAAAATACTCATTATCTCTATTTTCTAATTACACATCTGTGTAAAGTCAAATTTTCCTCATATACTTCAACCAAAATTACATACTGCAAAAGACAGAATGCAGAAGCAAACATTCAGTTGTCTTCTATTAAACCAGATATTTAAAAGATTTGCAAAAAAAAAGTAAAAACAATGTCATTCTTCTCAAAACATTTTTTTTGGGAAATATAGTTATTTTCATTAAAATGCAGTTTCTGTTATCATTATACTAAAATACGTATTTTAAAAATTTGTTTTTATTTCTTATTTAAGAGTACTGAAGAGGTCCTGAGGCCAGGAATAAGTGAGAAAAAATGGTAAGAGATGAGACTGGAAAGATAAATTGGGGTCAGATGTGAAGGGCATCATATGATGGAATAAGGCGTTAGGGCTTGATCTTGTGGGGACTTGGGAGACATAAGGAGGCAGCACTATATTGCAGAAGAAAACTGTGTGGTAGCCTTGTGATTTAGGGAACTTGACTCCAGCTCTAAGAGTAGGTAGAATCTGACTTGTTTGAGTCACCAATAGTTGGCAGCCTTCTAACATGGTGTCCAGTGATCCCTGCCTCCTGGTATTCACACTCTTATGTGATGCCCTCCCTTGAGTGTAGGCTGGAACTACTAGTGACTTGCTTCTGATGAACGGAATGAAGCAAAAGTGAGGGGATGCCACTTCTTAGATTAAGTAACAGAAGACTAACTTCTGTCTTGCTAGCCCTGTTTTGCTGACACTTTATTGCTTACTCTGATGAAGCCAGCTGCCATGTTGTAAGCTGCCTCACAGGAGGATTCATGTGAGCCAATGAAACAAGGGAGGCCTCTGGCCAACAGCTCATGAGGAACTGAGGCCCTCAGTCTAGCTGTGAGGAGTTGAATCCTGCCAGCAACTACTTGAGTGAGCTTAGAGGAGAAACCATCTCCAGTTGAGTCTTAGATGATTTGAGTCCCTGCTGACACCTAGACAGAGGATTCACCAAGTTGCATCTGACTGGATTCTTGATACAGAGAAAAGATGAGATAATAAATGCTGCTTTAAGTCACTAAGTTTTGGGATAATTTGTTACATGGCAATAGATAATTAATACAGCAGGTCCTAAGCCAATCAATTGTCCTGGCCACAGAGTAACTTCCACTTTCTGTCTGCATGAATCAAGGGGTGCTCCAAGTGTTCTGGATAAGACAGTCTGCCCTTTCTGCCTCCTGCTTTCACTGGTGGGAGTAAGGAAAATTCAGAGAGCCTTTGGGAGCAAAGAGGGACCCCTGTAAGAACCTCTTCTCTCCTCCCCTACCAATATTCTTAACTTTTACCTACCATCTTCCTCAAGACCATCAGGTTTTGATCCTTGTGCCCTTTACCCTTTTTTTCTTTGGCTAACTACAAGATGGGATCCAAAGCATCTATTACTTTCTGGAATCATTTCCAGTTGGCTTTGTACATGTCCTTTTATGACCTCATATGTTAACACCCTTTACTCTCCCCCATTCCTTAATTTCTTTACTGGGCTCCCTGGAAATTATAGTCAGCACATTAACAAACCTCCTACATTCCCAACTTGAACTTCCAAGATATTCTGCTCACCAATGTGTTCTAAGTAAAACCTGGTTTCTCTTAAGGGCAGTGCTACTGCTTCCCCTGCAACCGCCTCAAATGGTAGTTCTTTTCTTTGCCATAGCTCTTGTCGTACTATGGGGCCTGGAGGTGGGGAAGATGTCCTTCTTGCTCTTCACTACTTATAAGTGATTCTCCCTCTCCCTGAGCTCCTAGTCCCTGAAAAGAAAATCCTCCTAGCTTTGAATCTCTATAAGCCACTCCTTCTCTCCTTACTGCAGTTATCTACAGACTCCATGGATTATTTCCCTTACTCCTTAAAGATTTTAGCTCTGGCCCACTGTCATTCAATATCATAATTCCTGTGATTTCAATATCTCAGTTCCTTGGCATCTCTGCCAAAGATTCTGCCCTCTACCCTAGCCAAGTCACATGGTTATTTTTTAAGACAAGTGACTTGTAACTATTGGGAATATTTGTAAATACTATTTTAAGCCACTGTGTGGGGAGCAAAATTATGGCTATATTTTAGGTTGTTATAAAAACTTAGGGATTCTACTGGCATTTAATGGGCAGGGGCTAAGGGTACTAAATGGCCTGTGATGCGGATGGTACTTATACATTGAAGAATTGTCCCACTCAAAATACCAATAGCACCTGCACTGTCATCAGCAACTACTGCATCCCTTCCACAATTTGATTAAAATACCACCACTTGTATTTCCTATTCACTCCCTCTATTCGATACTTCAACTCCAATAATTCTTTGATATTCTAAATCTGTTGATCGGATCCCTTCCTCACGTACATCTTTCCCTCTTAACATATTTTGGATTCCATAGACTATTGTTATAATCATTCGCTTGCACACACCCTCAATTCCCTGATCTCCAACCTCCTTTAACCTACTCTCTGGGCTAACCCTAATTCTACTTAAATTCAGTTTTCTGCCCTCACCGTGACCACATAATTGAATATGCCTGGAGAAAAACATACAACCATTCTGAGTGCTCTCACTTCAAATTCATGACCACTAGCCTTAAGTGGGCCCTTATTGCTGCCAGGCAATTCAACTTCATTTATCAAGCTCATTCATTCTCCTATTCTTCTAAATGAAAGGGGACCACTGATTGGGTGTCTTTTGGAAAAGTAGAAGATGATATTCTGGGTCCTGGCAATAGAAAGGTACAGATTAGTGCTTCTCAAACTTTAATGTGCATATTATTTACCTGGGAGTTTAGTTAAAATGCAGATTCTGATTCAGAATATAGGGTCTGGGGTGAGCCTGAGATTCTGCATTTCTAACAAGCTTCCAGGTGACACTGATGCTATTTGTCCACAGCCCACACTTTGAGTATTAAGGGTACAGGACACCTCTTCCTCTGTCACAAGAAATGCATCTAGAAACAACTCTGGTAGTAGAGAAAGAGAAATTGTCGGAGCTTTTCCTATTTACATACAGAAGCTACCTGAGATAAAGGCAGCAGTTGGGATGAAAACAAAGTCAAGTGAGTCAGATATTCAAGCTCTCAGGGACTGTTAGCAGGGATATGTCCCTGAGAAGCCTGCAAGCAAAGGTCATGATAGAGGGCTACTTACTGGAGAAAAATCAAGAGAAAGAAGGTAGGCAGAGGACAGAATAAGGCTGGGCTAGGACAGAGGAATAAGAAAATAATTAGAATCATGATACTTTGGAAGTAATTATAGATGACTCAGATGAAGGAGGAAAGAGTCGAGAGGTAAAGATTACTGACATGAATATGCAAGAACTCAGCTAAATCCAGATAATAATATACTTCACAGATCATTATTTTAAAATGATTTGACATTGTCCAAGTAGTTTTCATAGAGAAAAGATTAATAGAAAATGCCTAGGGGCAAAGGTTGCCTGCATTAACTTTTGCAAAGGTGGACTTACCTGTGACACTAAAGTTAAGAGATTAACAAAAGGTAAAAAAAAGGTCAAAGTGGACGAATCTGTCACTACAGCTGCTTTAAATATCAATATTCAGATATTGCTTGAATATTTAAATATTTAAGGTCCCAATGGGTACACTATATTACAAATTACATACTGTTGCTTCTTTCTCAGAAGGTTCTCTATGGTAATATTCTTTTTTGAACACGCCATTGATTTTGTGATAAAAGAGACAACTACCAAATTCTGAGGTGGCATTTCATAATTTCATTATTTCACACTGTACTTTAAAAAGACTCTGAGGTTGCCAAAGTTAGTTTAAAAAAGAATAAACCTATTTACTGAGCTTCAAATGACAGACAGGTGTAATTCCCTCTTGGCTCCCTTTTGTTCTCAGACTCTGAAGTGTTCAATCTTCTACTAAGAAGCTATAAGCAGATGCATATAACAAGCTGAGAATACTTCTTTGTTTACTAACACAATGTTTTCTAATGCTGAGATATGGATACTGAATCCGAATCAAAATGTTTTCTAAGTTAATGGAGGTAAGGGAAATTACATGCATATTCTTCATATCCTTACCCCTTCACTGGTTTTCTGCAAGTCTGAAGTTGTGTTTCTTGTGTCATTGCCGGCATCTCCACCCTCAGAGCTGCTTTTGTTTTCCTCTTCTTTGCAGTCTTTGTCATCTTCATCTCCTGGAGATTTCCGGGACTGTTTAGAGGATTTCTAAATGTTTGGACAAGTTAAATATTACAGTCAAAAGCAGAAATCCAAATGCACATAAGTAAGAGATGCAGAAGTAGCTGACTTGCGGCTAGTCTTTGTAGGTTAATACAGGATATAAAAATGCAACATGCAGTGTGCCAAGGCTGAGCTAGGTGACATTAGACAAGACATTTCACCTCACTGGGCCCCAGTTTATATAGCTGAAAGGAAGCAGAAGTAGTTAGATGGCTTCTTAATTATTATTATTATTATTTTTTGAGTTGGAGTCTCACTCTGTTGCCCAGGCTGGAGTGCAGTGGCACGCTCATGGCCACCGCAGTCTTGACCTGCTGGGCTCAGGTGATCCTTCTGCCTCAGCCTTCCAAGTAGCTGGAACTATAGGCATGCGCCACCACGCCTGGTTAAATTTTTTTATTTATTGTAGAGACAAGGTTTCACCAAGTTGTCAGGCTGGTCTCGAATCTCTGGACTAAGGCAATCTACTAGCCTTGGCCTCCCAAAGTGCTGGGATTATAGGCTTGAGCCACCGTGCCCGGCCACCTCTTAGTTCTTGCCAGCAATGTGATATTAACAGCAGAAAATGAATATTTATGTACCCAGAACAATGTCAATGAATAAATATAGCTGGATGGATGATGATGATAACACCTTAAGAAGCATACAACATTAGAAGGCACCCTAAAGGTCATCTTGTCATTTCCCATCGTTTAACAATTGAGATTCAGAGAAGTAAGATAAGTTATCCAAGACAACATATAGATATTCATATTGGAATGTCGTTTAAGCTTTTTGGCTAATGGTATGTATACACAGGATCATCTTGACAAAACTTTTGTATCACTGTGTGATATAAACTAACTTTATTCTTTTTTAACTACAGAGAGTTAAGAACCCAAGGCTATACTGGTAAACTGGTCCTTTTTTCTTGTCATGTTGCATTTGAAATCAAGATGAACTCTAGAGGAAGATGAAAATACAATTACATTTGCAGCAAGACTTGCTTAGCAGAATAGCATTAAAATGATAAAAAGCAGGCCCCAACAGTGCATCTTTAAGAAAGTAAAATATAGCATTCTTTTCCAGTTCCTCTTTAAGAAGAATCTTCAGGCACATTGTAAATAAGATGTAAAGCAAAACTGATTTAGTCAAGTTTCTTTTGGTCTTCCAGAAATGAATTAGCAAATTGAACCTTCCTCAAACAATCAGCTTTTTAAAATGCAACTCAAAAAAGAAAACATCTTCTAGCTATGTGACAGAATATGAAATTAAACTGTTACTATTTTACTTAATTGAAACTAGCAACCAAGCCCAAAATAGTTAAAATTTGATTTTTATATGAAGAGAAAACAGGGATTTAATGATCCAAATGTGGAGTGTTTAGAGTTAAGACCAAGAATGACAACAATACAAGTGAAATACTTTTTGCTTTCCTGATAAATATAATTATTAAAATGCAGTAACTGCTTCACATAGCAATTCTCAAATAACAGTCCTTTATCTATATTTCTTATAAGTAATAATGTACAGCTCCTGAAAATTTATAATGCTTCTAAAGGATATTTATAAGTAATAAGTGAGTATTATAACTTGGTATACATAGATACAATTAGTGCATTACTAGAGATTTACTAATGAGTTGCAGCATTCAGTATTCTACTAAGAAATCTAGCTGTCAAGTTGTATGTGGTAACCTTGCAAAGCTCTTCAGACTATTGGAATTTCTTAATTTTGGGGAAGGATCCTTCATCTGTTTTATCAGTATGGTCTTAAATTGGTTATATCCAATTGTTGCTATCTTTGCTTTTTTTGCTGTTGTTTTAGTAGGGGGTCTCACTCTGTCACCCAGAATGAAGTGCAGTGGCACAATCACAGTTCACCACAACCTCGAACTCCTGGACTCAAGCAATCTTCCCTCTTCAGCCTCCTGAATAGCTGGGATTACAGGCACAGACCACCACATCCAGCTAATTTTTCTTTTTCTTTTTTTTTTTTTTGAGTTGGAGTTTCACTCTTGTCACCCAGGCTGGAGTGCAGTGGCAAGCTCATGGCCACCACAGACTTGACTTGCTAGGTTTAGGCGATCCTTCTGCCTCAGTCTTCCAGGTAGCTGGAACTACAGACGCATGCCACCACACCCAGCTAGATTTTTTTGGTGTGTGATTTATTGTAGAGACAAAGTCTTACCAAGTTGCCCAGGCTGGTCTCAAACCCCCGGGGTTAGGCAATCCTCTCGCCTTGGCCTCTCAAAGTGCTTAGATTAAGGCTGAGCGAGCCATCACGCCCAACCCATTTTTTTTTTTTTTTTTAAAGATGATGTCTTTCTATATTTTCCAGGCTGGTCTCAAACTCCTAGGTTTCCCAGAGTGCTAGCATTACAGGCATGAGCCACTGTGCCCAGTATTATCTGTTTTTTTTTTTTAAAAACTAAAATTACCAGTGGTTTATTATCACCATCAGTTTTGTTTGTTGGGAGGCTCTGATTAACTACTATACACAGTCAATAATTTGTATGCAAAATATTTTTGATCCATAATTTTCCAGTATCTGTTATAACTCAAATATGAATCATGCACAGCCTCACTGCTGAAGAGACAGATATGTAATTCTCCTCAAATCTGCTACACTGTAGTTTTTCATTAAGATTACTGAGCTCCTTTTATATAGAAAAGTGGAATTAGGTGAGGTAGAAGAAATAGCTGCGGGACCTTTCCCTCTACCTAAATGGGATACAGTAAAAAGTTTGTGAAAAGTTTTCAGTGCAAAGGAAGAAAATAAACCTTCAAGAAATAGATGTAAAGAAAAAAAACCCCACCATATTCAACAAAAAGGAAACATTTGGGAAGCCAAAAAGAACAATGAGGTTACGGTACGTAAGTGGTACTCTAAATGAGGTTCCCAGACAAGTAGCAGCAGCTTCATTTGGAAAATTGATTTCTGGACTCAAACCCTAGACCTTCTGAGAGAGAAATTCTGGGAGTGAGGCTTAACAATGTTTCTTAACAAGACTTCCATATCATTCTGACTCATGTAGCAGTTTGAGAACCATTATGTTAGGTTACTTCATTGATATTAAAAATAAAAAAGGTGTTTTTAAGTGATCACAGAAGTGCTGCCCATAGAAAGTGGACCAGATAAAAAAATGTGGTACATATACACGGTGGAATATTACACAGCCATAAAGAAGGACAAAATTATGGACTTCATAGCAACTTGGATGCATTTAGAGTCCGTCATAGTCAGTGATCTACCACAGAAACAAGTAACTGATTACCACATGTTCTCACTCATAAGTGGAATAATACTATATGAAAGGTATTCGCAGTAGCAGGTCACTGCTGGGGTGAGGGACACATAACACTAATAAGTGTACCTGATCCCAAACCAGGTGAAGTGAGGATCAATGGAAGGCCCAAACTTAACCTGTACAATGACCACTTATGTACCCAACCCTAAATTGTACCCCACATCTTTAAAATTAAAAAAAAAGTGAGCATGGAAGTTGTGATCTTGAAAAAAAGCAAATGAAATGATCCTTTAATTTAAAATAGATAAATCTTAGTAAGTTAAGAATGTCTTTACCCTTTCACTGTTTTAAACTGTAAGTCTACCCAGGTGAGAGCCCCATTACTCCTGGTCGTTGCAATAAGCAATGAAATAACGGCATTTAAAAGCCACATATTCACACTATTAAATAGCACTTTAGGTAACTTAGATAATTTAGGGCTGCACTACACATTGTATGGAAGCTCTGTAGGCAATCACAAATTAAATAAAATCAATTCAAGTGGGTGTTTAAATGAAGTCCAGAATGCTAAAAAAAAAAAAAAGAAAAGAAAAAAAATTCAGCTTAAAAAAATGTAATGGGAGATACAGTCTAACAGGGAAAATTCTATTTATTTTGTCATTTGCAAGCTTTAGCCCCACCCACAGCAATCACATGTTTTTCATTAGGTACATAGAAAATAATTCATACAATTTTACCTACATGCCAGTTGGGTATATTTTATAGACTGACACAATTAAATGCTGATAAGCTCTTGGTACTTGTTTTTTAAGATGTTTCCTAAGTATATTCAGCCACCAAATATCAGAACTAAATGGAAGTAATTTGCCTAGGTATTCAATCATGTGACAGACCAATTATAGTTGAGCCTATAACAATCTTTGGTCTTCAAGGATCCATTTATCTTGCTTTTGGTTTCTAAAAGGTGAATAGTTTTCACAATCTCATAGTTTTTTCAATTGCATTTCTGAATTACTGTATGAAAAACCTAGACTTTCAATTTGTAAATTCAGGATCATGTTACTCCTCTGTTTAAAATCTTCATTTATTGTTACATTGGAAATAAAATACACATTCCTTAATATGGCCTACAAATCTGCAGTATTTGGCCTTTGCCTGCCTTGTGTCCTTGATCATGATTCTCCAGTCATACCTTCTTTCAATTAAAAAGTATGTTAAACTCTTTCCTGCCTCTTTGCTGCTTTGTTCCTTTCTCACTGTCATACACGGTTTCTCCTCCCAGTCCCTTCTTTCATGTCTCAGTATAAACTTCTCCTTTCAGAAAGGCCTAGTTATCCCACCTAGAGTAAGTTCCCCTACTCTGCCATTCCCTGCTCCTATTCATTTCCTTTACACCCTTTTCACAATTTATGTTTAATTTTTGTTTTCTTGATAACTGTGTGTTACATCCACCCTCCATTGTATTGTAATTTACTTGAGGGCAAGGGATAAAGTTGGATTTGCTCATTACTGTATACCTAGTCCAGTGTCTCGCACAGACTAGGTGATCAGGAAATATAACAACAAAATCAATAAAGAGCCAAAGCACATTCCTTGAAGCAGAATAACAAGAAAGAAATATCTTTATATAGTCATGTGTGACATGATGCTTTGGTTAACAACAGACTGCACATAGGAAGGTGGCTATGCCATACAGCCCAGGTGTGTAGTAAGTTACACCATCTAGGTTTATGCAAGTACATTCAATGATGTTTGCACAATGACAAAATTGCCTAATGACGCATTTTTCAGAACATATCCCTGTGGTTAAATGACACGTGACTGTAATTACATATATAGTATATAGACACAGTCTCGAATTGCACTGTTTCCTATAGTCCTAATTCTTCAGGGCTTGCTTGAAGATGATTGTAGGAGGCATAACTACTCATGTGTCATTACCTAAAGAACAGTCCTCTGCCAACCAAGAAGATGATATTTTTAGGGCCAAACCAGCTCTAAAGAGTCAAGAGTCCAAATGTTCTAATATCTAAGGTTACTTGTCTTATTTCCTCTGCAATACTAGTCTCTAAAAGCAGAGACTCTACAGAAACTAATATATTTCTATGTGCCCAATAAATAAATGAAAAATAATCTAAAAATTTAATGACTACACATGAACATTAATAACAAGGGAAGTTTCTCAGTAACCTTTGAAGTGTATGACTTTTTCCGTTTTGATCCTGCTTTTTCATTCTTTCTTTTGCCTTTCCCGTCTTCTTCTACTCTATCGCCTTCTTCCTCACTGCTTGCATCTGCAGTATTTCCGCCTTCTCCCTCAGTTTCTGAAGAGCTCTGTTGCTGAATTGCCTATGGAATAATAAAGTAGTCACCAGTCACATTTCTGAAAAAATAACAAAGAACACAGACTGAAAAAGCACCATTCTATTTTAATTTGAAAGGGTTCAGTTTACTCTTAAGATTTTCAAAATAATGGGCTGTCAGACTCAATTTTCCAGCAGCCACTTGGTTTGAACCTTTCTTGGTAAGAGTTACATTTAATCTAAAATGTTACTGGAGTCAAGAATTCTGATTTCAAGGTAACTATTAGTAGAAAGGATATATAAGAATTATAAAAAATAGAGCTAAAATCAAAAAAGAAAAATGAGAAATATCAAGTGACAATGAAGTAAACCATTACCTGATATCCAGTAAACTTTACTCCTGGGTTATTTTCTATTTCCCACAATCCTTCATTAAATCCTTTCCGCTTATTTGACTTTCCAAACTTGTCTTTGTATTCCTTATATGGAAAAAGGTCTTTGGGACCTAGAAATGCACTGCAGAGATATATGAGAAATAGAACTGATATGCTGACTTTCAAATGCAGATATTTTAAGTATCAGTATCAAAAAAAGTGTCAGTGCATATTACCGTAAACAAAAATAAAGTATATACAAATCCTCTGAATTAGGCACATATCACAAGATGTTTTAGATAACATACTTCAAGGCAGAAAAAAATGAATAGCTGGGCAAACAAGCCAGCAACACTGGATTGTGCTACTTTGATTTGACTTTTTACTCAAGTAGAATTAATAAAGAAGTCCACTTTGACCACTTACATCATTATCTTAAACTAAGATTTATTTATGCTATTCTTACCATAGGTAAAGATTTTGTGAGATTTATAGTAAAAAATAGAAATATATAGAAATAAATACTAGAATACAAAATATTTTAACTCTATGTACAGTAGTCCCTCCTTCTGTGGTTTTGCTTTCTGTCATTTTAGTTACCCAGGGTCAACTGCAGTCTAAAATGTTCAAAGGAAAAATTCCAGAAATAAACAATTCATAAGTTTTAAATCTTGTGCTATTCTGAGTAGTGTGATGAAATCTCACTCTCTCCCACTCTGTCCTGCCTGGGATATGAATCATCCCTTTGTCCAGCATATCCACACTGTTTATGCTACCTGCCTATTAGTCACATAGTAGCTATCACTGTTATCAGATGGAAAAACATAGTATATACAGAGTTTGGTACTATCTGCAGTTTTCAGGTAACCATTGGGGGTCTTGGAATGTATCCCCTATAGATAACAGAGAACTACTGTACCACATTAGTATATTTATTAACTATCATTTACATAAATTAAAAAAAATATTAGTGTTGAAAAAAGTAAGTGGTAAAGTAGATAAAATCTTATCTAATTTAAGCCTTCAATTAATCATAGCCAAGAAAAAAAGGTAGACTAAATACTGAGGCTGGGTCACAGATGCAAACATTCAAACCAGAGTCTTTTGCATTATTATCTATGCTATTAACCTGGTAAATGAGACTGTAGAGGCCTAAATTTTGACTGACACCCCTGAAGCTTACATTTCAAGCTAAGTTTCATTTATTTATTCATTTGACAAGTATTGATTGAACATTTATAATGTTTCAGGCACTATTCTGGAGATGCTAAGGATTTTGTAGGAAACAAAAAGACAAACATCTCTGCCCTCTTGGAGCATATGTTCCCATGGTAGGGGTGGGAGTTTGGACAATAAAAATGATAAATAAAGAGAATATCTAAGTAAGGAATTAAAGAAGTTACTGGAACAATCCATGCAGTTACCTGGGGAAGAATAGAACAGGTTGAAGGAAGAATGAGTATAAAGGCTCTGAGGTGGGAGATAGCCTAGGAAGTCTGAAAAACAGAAGAGGCCAGCGTAGTTAGAGGGAAATGAGTGAAGAAAGACCAGTGTGAGATAAGGTAACAGAGTAGAGACACAAATTTTGTAGGGTCTTGGAGGTCATTAAAGGTTTTGAGAAGATAAGTGATAATCAAAGTTTAAATAGGATCACTTTGGCTGCTGTGCTGAAGACAGACTGAAGGATTGGTGGAAGCAGGGGGAATAATTAGAAGGCTACTGAAATGATGATGACTTGGACTGGGGTGTGAGCAGTATGGTTAGTAAAAACTGATCAGATCCTGAATTCATTCTCAAGAAACAGCTAAGATGATTTGTTGATGGGCTAGATATGGCATGTGAGAAAAAAGGTGGAGCTGAGGATATATCCAAGGTTTTAGACTAAGAAATAAGAAGAATGGAGTTGATATTTACTGAAATGAAAAGATTTGGGGGAGGACAAAATTTTTTTCTTTTCTTTTTGAGTTGAGGTCTTACTCTGTTACCGAGGCTGGAGTGCAGAGGCATGATCATGGCTCACCACAGCTTCAACCTCCTGGGCTAAGGAGATCCTTACACTTCAGACTCCCAAGTAACTGGGTACATGCATGCACCACCACACCCAGCTAATTTTTAAATTTTCTGTAGAGAGGAGTTCTTGCTATATTGCTCATGCTGGAGGAGGACAAGATTTGGGGGGCAAAAAGCTTAGTTTTGAATGTTAAGTTTAAAGTCTTGGCTACATATTCAAGTAAAGGTATCAAATAGGCAGTTGGAGAGATGAGTCTGGAGTTCAAAGATCTAAATTTGAGAGTAAATTTGGAAATTGTCAGCAACGAGAAGATATTGTAAACTTTTAAACAACAGGTTCACAAGTTTGTTGCTGATCTTTGTAAATTCCATTTTCTGACAGGGTCTCCTCCATGTTGATCACTTACACTGTTCAGCTGATCAAACATTTCAAGTTAATAATCACACCTGGGGAAGATTTCTAATCCCACAGCTGTTTAAGAGTCACCAATCCTAGACTGGGTACGGTGGCTCGCACCTGTAATCCCAGTGTTTTGGAAGACCAAGGCAAGAGGATCACTTGAAGCCAGGAATTCGAGACCAGCCTGGGAAACACAGCGAGACCTCGTCTCTTCAAAAAAAATTTAAAAATTAGCCAGGTGTGGTGGAACATGCCTATAGTCCTAGCTACTCAGGAGGATGAGGTGGGAGAATTGCTTGAGCCCAGGAGTTTGAGGTTACAGTGAGCCATGATCATGCAAATGCACTACAACCTGAGTGACAGAGTGTGACACTCTCTTAAAAAAAAAAAAAATCAGCCGGGCTCCGTGGTTCAGCCTGTAATCCCATGCTTTGGGAGGCTGAGGTGAGTGAATTGCTTGAGCCTGCGGGTTTGAGACCCGCCTGGGCAACTTGGCGAGACCTCAGCTCTATAATAAATCAAAAAATTAGCCGGGCGTGGTAGCATGCGCCTGTAGTTCCAGCTACTTGGAAGGCTGAGGCAGAAGGATCGCCAGAGCCCAGCAGGTCAAGGCTGTGGTGGCCGAGAGTGGCCACTGCACTCCAGTCTGGGCGACAGAGTGAGACTCCAACTCAAAAAAAAAAAAAAAAAAGAAAAAAATCACCAATCCTTTCCTTATTCTTCACCTGCAAGTGCTCAGTCAGCATGATCCCACCTCATTGAACCCAGAAAGAGTTTATTAGGCTGCTGGGCATTTTAATAAAAAAATGTCAAAGTTTTGCTTGATAAACTGAACATATATGGCAATTTCACTTTTAGAGAAAATTGCCATGAATTATACTATGGCTTTAGACCTTCTCCAGCCTTTGACTCTATGCGTAGAAAAATCTCTGTAGGATAAGCTGCTGGATATTCATATAAGTGACTGATGCTTAATCAGAGCTTGCTTGTACTTTAATAATGCCACAAGAGTTGGGGTTAATGGTTATTATTTTTTGATGAAAGATTCAATAATTTCTGGTCTCCTTTATTTGTATATTGTCCCACTTTTGAATATATGAGATGCATATTTTTCTGCTACAGGGATCAGAAAACATTTTCTTATAAATAAATGATATTTTTACTATCATTCTCCAGGAAGAACTTTAATGGACAACTGGCTATATTAGCTATTGTTAGAAAGAAGAACTCTGAATGAATGATTCCAAACCAAGTTCTTATTTTTGATTGGCAACCCAGTTTTTTCTAGATTGTAGATAATTTTATAAATCAAGTCTCCTCTCAACTGGTTAACTGATATATGTTTACAAAACTTTAAGGGTAGTACAGAAGATAAACTGCTAAAAGCTACATGCACTAAGGATGACATTCTTTTTTCCTTGTCAAGGTTTCCTTAAAAATTGTCCAGAGACTAAAACTACTAGAATTACATGGAGCAGAAGAACTTGGGGTTCCAGTCACCTATCTGCCTGATAATGAGAACATCAAAGTCATGTTCTGAGGAAAATTCTGATCTTGCTTGTGATCCTGCCAATTCCATTAGCTAAACTGAACAAAACCTTTTTGTTAAGTTCCTCTTCTTTCTCTTACTTCCCACCTCTTTCATTTAACTATTTTAAATTCATCAATGGTTATTTTTTTAAAGATCTACCATGGGCGAGGTATTGTACTAAGCACTGTGTATATAGTAGTAAGCAACCCTGACATGATCTCTATGTTCACAGAGAGGGTAAACAGTAGCCCTTGCCAGGGTGAGTGTAATTTCAGTTCAGGGACACCCAATACTTAGTGAAAGTTCAGCAGAACCAATGGTATGGTAGGTTTTTGGAAGTTCAGATTAAAATCTGCCTCTGGATGATCAAACCAGCAGAGAAAATCACTTATAGACTATAGTACAAAACACATCAACTTGGAGCCAGGTCCTAAAGAAAAAGCAAAACAAGGTCTGGTATGGTGGCTCATGCCTGTGATCCCAGCACTTTGGGAAACACGATGGGAGAATTGCTTGAGTTCAGGAGTTTGAGACCAGTCTAGGTAATATAGCAAGACCTCATCTCTACAAAAAAAAAAAAAAAAAAGCCAAGCATGGTAGTATGCATCAGTCATCCCAGCTATTCAGAAGGCTGAGGAAGGAGGATTGCCTAAGCCCAGGGGGTTGTGGCTGCAGTGAGCCATGATTGTGTCACTGCACCTCAGCCTGGGTGACAGAGGGAGATTCTGACTCAAAAAAAAAAGAGAGGAAAAAAAAAAAAGAGAATATAAATGGGGAAAGAAATGAAGAAAATACAAAAATACGTATCACAAAGTCCTATGTACTTATCAGTAAAACTGATTTCTAAGCTTACTAGCAACCTCCCTAAGGAGGAAATCATGATAGTCATTGCATAGTCCACACTGTCTATTACATAAAAATAATACAAACAAAATAAAATGAACATCTTGAAAGAGACACAACTATTTCTCACATGAAGAAAGAAACGTGTTTGAGAGCCCTCTCCTAGCTCTCCTTCAAGACAAGAATGAAGATGTCAGAGTGGAAGAGATAGCAAACTAATAAAGTGTTCATGCTGGACTCTACTAACATCCAAATGAATACAAGTAATGACCCTGAAGTTGTATTTTGTGATAGTTTTTAGCTTTTCCCCACATCTGCAATTTCTGTTCCATTTGTTTCCTTGTTTAAATAACCATATACATTCTTAGGCTGTCAAAGATTGCCAATTATCCCTCAGTATCCATTCTCTTTTTTCTCCCATTAACAGCTTATTCTTTTCAATTTTTAAAGCAGGGTACGGAGTTGCCCAGCTAGAAGCTATGTTTCCCAGCTTGTAGCTAGATGTGGCAACACAACCAAATTCTTGCCACTGGAATGAATGCAAGTATAAATGATATAAAGTCATTGATAGGTTTTTCAAAATTCAATGTCATTGATAGGTTTTTCAAAATTGTGATTTTACGCAAAATGATGCTGAACGAAAAGGGTATTATTCGAAGATAGATAGGTTTTCAGAAATCTGTCAACTGTTAGGTGAGGACTTACTGTATGCAACTTCTTTGACATTTCCTTATAAGTAATGACTTGCTTTTCACCTCTTCTCTTTCTTCCATCACTCTGCCTGGAAGATGCACATGTGCTGCTGAGCTGGTTTTCCTGTTTTAATAAACAGACAGGCTGGGCGTGGTGGCTCAAGCCTGTAATCTCAGCACTTGGGAGGCTGAGGCGAGAGGACTGCCTGAGCCCAGGGGTTTGAGACCAGCCTGGGCAACTTGGCAAAACCTTGTCTCTACAATAAATCAAAAAAATTAGCTGGGTGTGGTAACGTGCACCTGTAGTTCCAGCTACTTGGAAGACAGGCGAAAAGATTACATGAGCCCAGCAGGTTGAGGCAGCAGTAGCCATGAGCATGCAACTGCACTCCAACCTGGGCAACAGGGTAAGACTCCAATTCAAAAAAAAAAAAAAAAAGGTAGAAAAAGGAACATGCTAATGAATGACAGAACAACAAGACAGGGTCCCTAGAGCAGAGTAGTCTACTCTACCTGCCTACCTCTGGATTATTTTTTTTAAAAAGAAATAAACTATATTATTTGAGACACTGTATTTTTAGGTTCCTTTACTACAACAAATTAGCCTGTGCCCTAATCAATACAGTTAAAAATTTTAAATGATGGTATACTTCCTTCAAGATCCAATAGGGTGAAAGAACTTGAGAGAAAATAACTTTTTTCTGCGAAATATGAACGAAGAAAATTTCTCTAGAAGGGAAATATACAAGTGCTACAAAAGAAATTACTAGGAGTAGTAAAGAAACCACCCTAGGAATTAAAAGTGATCATAGGAGATTGATGACAACCAATGTTTAAGCAAAAACAGAAATGACATTCAAAAGCAAAGATGTGCTTTTAGTCATAAAGACTTCATTGATAAAAAAATTTACATTAAGAAAAAATAAATTACTAAGCTTGGTAATTGTATATAATTGATTATAATGATTTTAACAATACAGAAGATGTTACAGATCGTCTACAAACAATGTACTCTAGAAAAGTCAAGTTAGAACTATTGAAACTCTTTTGGCTAACTTACGTTTCATGGGTGCCAAAAAAGAAGATAGGATACTTGTTTGCTGGAGGCTTCACAGCTCCCTCTGGGAGTTCATCAATCTATTAAAGATAAATTTAGTTATTAAGTAGTTACTATATACACAATGTAAATATTGTTCTGATTGCTAACCCTGAAAAAAATTAACCAAAATCCTTGTAGTTTTTCTTTTTCTCAAATCTTACAAAATGATTCTAAAGGTCATATTTCGTTCACCACATGGACCAAACCCTGTGAATTGAGTATAACCATTATGATAATTCATAAGCAGGAGCCAAAATTAAAACTACTTATTTTCTTGGACCCAAGATAATTACTCCTGGGAATCTATCCTAGTGAACAATTCAAAAGAATAACAACAACAAAAACCAAAAATGGCTATACAGTAATCCCAGCACTTTGGGAGACCAAGATAGGCGGGTCACAGTGAATATATGCATACCTTTCTAGAAACACAAATGTTATAAGATAGAATTATGAAAAATTAACTTGATGAAATATTATCAGTCACTAAAAGACATCATCTATTGCCTGGACTACAAGTTTCTCTTCCCACCAATTTAAAGTAAAATTCATGTTTAAAATGCACTTCTGGTTATGCTACTTCCTTCCTTCAAATCCTTCTAAAACTTCTCATTGCTTACAACATTCCTAGCTGTGTATCTCAATCACTTCTGGAGCTTTAAAAAAATAAAGACGGTCTGGGTGTGGTGGTTCATATACATAATCACAGCATTTTGGGAAGCCAGGGTGGGATGATCGCTTGAGGCCAGGAGTTTGAGACCAGCCCCAGAACATAGTGAGACCCCCATCTGTACAAAAATGAAAATAAAAAATACTTAGCCAAGCATGTTGAGACATGTCTGTAGAATATTTGGTAAGCTAAAATGGGAGGATTGCTTGACCTGAGGAGTTTAAGGTTATAGTAAGCTAAGGTTGTATCACTGTACTCCAGCCTGGGAGCAGAGCAAGATCCTGTTTCTAAACAAACAAACAAGAAAATATATCTATATACACATACATACATATATATCCATTCCAGCCCTTTCTCAGATCTACCTATTTTTATTTACAGCTGAGGTTGAGAATCTCTTATAGGATAAAGGTCCAAATTCCTTAGAATATCAGATTGGCCATGTAAAGCTGCCTGTTTCACTAATGTAACTGCTAAACTCTGTCTATGCTTTTACTGTTGCACTTTTGCCTAGAACTATTCTATTTTCAACTTATTCTCCTTCATCATACTACAAAATTCTTGAATGTTGGAGTCATGTCTTATTAAAAAAATCTATCCCTACTATCTAGCACAATCCTGGCACACAGCAATTCTTAATTAATCTTTGCTTTCATAATGATAAAATTTCATTGATTCAAAAATATGTCATTATGGAGTTTTGTGACATAATGTTAAGAAAGAACCACTTTATGTACACTATGATTATAATTATATATATATATATAATTATATATATATATAGTTCATATATATATAGTTTAACAGACAGGGACTGGAAGGGAATATGAAAAATATAACTATATAAGTGTGAGGTCAGTGGTATTAAGAGAGAAAAATTTTCTCTTTTCTCTTTCAAATTTCCCTTTTGTTGTCATAATTTTAACTTGCAAGAAAACAAATTTATGTCCTTATGAGATTAAAATTGCCATTCTGTAAACATAAAATTTCTTGTATTTCTTTTTTTTTTTGAGTTGGAGTCTCACTCTGTCGCCCAGACTGGAGTGCAGTGGCCGCTCCCGGCCACCGCAGCCTCACCTGCTGGGCTCCGGCGATCCTTCCACCTCAGCCTTCCAAGTAGCCGGAATTACAGGCACACGCTACCATGCCCGGCTAATTTTTTTTTTTGATTTATTGTAGAGATGAAGTCTCGCCTGCCCAGGCGGGTCTCGAACCTGCGGGCTTAGGCAATCCACTCACCTCAGCCTCCCAAAGGCGCGGGATTACAGGCTGAGCCACCGAGCCCAGTTTTTACTAATTATTATTCTTTTGTAGAGATGAGGTCTCACTATGTTACCCAGGTTGACCTTTTGAGTTTTTGATCAAGAGCTGAGCAGACTTTTAGGAGGCATACTAAAGAGCAGTTGTTATGGAAATGAGAACAGAACAGAGTATTAGAAATCAATGAATTCAGAGGACTTTGGAAGTCCACCTAGAGTAGAGAAATTTTTAATCACCTTCTTAACACCTCAGGGTTCTAGCGGAGACATTGGTAAGTTTTGTCTTAAGAGTAAGGTGTAGATTGAGACCTACTCTACATTCTTCCAAAGTATAGTAACAGGCCCTGATGAGATCTGCAGGGGAGATTTTTGAGGTTGAGTTCCAATAAATTAGTTGAGCTTGAGAAATACCTTGGGCTTTCTGTAGATTTCCCCTAAAAAAGTGTAAAACTTAATTATAGAATATCAAGGCTATTAGTCAACAATTGAGCTGCCTACTATAACAAAAATTACACATCAGAAAAGATTTTTGAAATCCAGAGTTCTGATAACTGATCATCAGTAATGTCCAATACATAATAAAATTACTAGACAAAAAAGCAAGAGGAAAAATGTGACCTATAATGAAGAGAATAAGCAGTTAAGAGAAACAGACCCTAAGATGATGCAGGTGTTGAATTTAGCAAAGACTTTAAAGTTCTATGTGGACTTAATGAGTAGACAAATAGGGAATCTGGGTAGAGTAAGAAACAATAAAAAAGAAACAGCAGGACATGGTGGCTGATACCTATAACCCCAGCACTTTGGGAGGCTGAGGTGGGAAAACTGCTTGAGCCTAGGAGTTTCAGTCCAGCCTAAGAGACATAGCAAGATCTCATCTCTTAAAAAAAAAAAAAAAAAAGCTAGATGTGCCTGTAGTTCCAGCTACTTGGGAGCGCTGAAGCAGAAGGACTGCCTGAGCCCAGGAGGTCGAGACTGTGATGAGCTGTGATGTGCCACTGTACACTGTACTCTAGCCTGGGCGCCAGAGTGAGACTTCAACTAAGAAAAGGGGGGGAGGGAGAAAGAAAAGAAAAGACAAAAGGAACCATATGGGAAGTTTGTATGGAAACTGAAAATTTTATTGAAGAATGAGTCATGAGCCTGAAGATGCTAGAAATTATCCAATTTGAAGAATACAGAGTAAAAAGATTGATAAAATGTAAACAGAGCTTCAAGAACTTGTGGAACACTAAAAAATAATCTAGCATATATGTAATAGTAGAGTACCCAAAGGAGAGGAGGGAATAAAGCAGAAAATACATTTGAATAAATAATATTCAAAATTCCCCAAATATGATGAAAAACATTGACTTACATGCCAAAGATCAGTAAATCTCAAGCAGAATAAATGTAAAGAAAACCACACCTATGCACATCACAAACTGCTGAAAAACCAAGAAGATAAAGAGAAACTTGTAAAACAGTTAAAACAAAAAAAGAAAGAGAAAGAAAGATTACTTATAAAGAAACAATTGTAAAACTTACACTGACTGCTCATCAGAAATAATGAAGACCAGAAGGAAATATAATGACATCTTTAAAGTGTTGAAAGAAAAATCCCTCTCAACTCAGAACTCTGCATCAGTATCTATATTCTATAGTAAAAATGAGCATAGGGAATGACTTCGGCAAGATGGTAGAACAGAAGACCCCCCAGTATCACCGTGACACAGAAAAATACAGTTAGAAGCTATTCAAAGAAAAAAATACCACCCTGAATTCACCAAAACTTGAGGGAGAAGCAAAGAAACGACCTGGGTCCAAAGAATTAAGAGAAGGCATGACCAGTAAGAGAAAAAGTCATTTCAGACTGTGCTATCCCCTCCTTCAAGCTGGCACAACACCATTCAACGATAATTTCCCTAGAACCATGACTTCTGAGGTGAAGCAAGAGAACTTGGAGGTAGATGTTGATCTCCCCACAGGTCTTGAAATCTTCATAGGAAGCCCACTTCAGTCCTATCCCACAGGAACCACTGAGAATGCTAGGAGGGCTGAACCACTTGGGATGAACTGGGGACAAAGAGTGGGACACTGATTGCAGTGATGAGCACATGGATCTTGGCAGCTACTTTGTGCTCCAATCAGTGGAGATGCCACATTAAAAAGACTGGCTGGTGCCATACTGGGCATAGTTTGTGGGAAGGACTGAATCCCAATCTGGATTTTCCATAGAGCCCAGGTACTTGCATGGTGCCTTCCCCCAGACCAGAAACAACTAAAAGGTCATGATTAAGTTCTGGTGCCTACTTAACTCTTCGCTAGACTGGAAAACAACAGAGAGGTAGCAATTTAGTTCCAGAGCACCATATAAATTAGTGTTCACTGTAAGTTTTTCCCAGACTGGGACACAACTTCAGGGTAATGAGTTAGTTTTCTTGCAGTGTTTTTGTTCCAGTTCTCACTATAAGTCCTCTCTAGAACATGAAGAAACAACAGGCCAGTATTTAAGTTCTAATACTAAGTAGTAAAAGTCTAATACCACCAAAGAACATCTGTACTAACGGGAAGAGGTGGCTATCTTCTCAAATATATAGGCATCAACATAAAGATGCAAGATTACTGACTGGATAAAAAATGTGGTATACATACATGATAGAATATTATATAGCCATAAAGAAGGACAAAAATCATGAACTTCACAGCAACCTGTATGGACTTAGAGTCTATAATACTGAGTGATCTATCACAGAAACAACGAACTGAGTATCACATGTTCTCACTCATAAGTGAACCTTGAACAATTATCGTAATACTATAAGAAAAAGACTGTCAGTAGTGGGAAACTGTCAGGGTTGAGGGGGAGGGATACGGGATTGGCAGTAGTGGGACTCTGCCAGGGGAAGGGGGGGCACACCTCATAACAGTGGGTACCTGCATAATGAACATTTGTATACCTAAACTTGAATTATAGCCCCCATCTTTTATATAAAAAAACTAAAATAAAAAAGCATAAAAAAGAAAACTAGAATAAGTATGTTATATCAATGGTTACAAGTTATAAAAAAATGTAGGATTGTGAAAGCTCAGGGAAATAAAAAACCATAAAAAGAAACCAGCAAAACTC